GATACGACTTCTTCGTTTGCATTTTATACATTTGATTTTCTTATTAGACCCATCAAGTCTTGTAAAAAAAATTTTAGTCATTTTATTCAAATAAATAGAAACGGTGAACTTATGATCCAAAAAAAAATCCTCTTATTTATATTTATTGAAAAAAATTTAAAGAATTCATTTGTCGAACGTTGAGAAAATTATATATTCTAGAACTTATCGTCACGTTTTATTTTAAAAGCTCCGACATTTGGAATGTTCTTTTAATTCGAAAATTTTATTCTAAACATTCGAAAAGAATAACTTTTTTATGCCAGATTTAATTTGTTTATCAAATTTAGTTTTCGTTGTTTCTTAAAATAGAAATTGTTATCAATTATGCATGCACGTTATTTTTAAAATAAATTCCGAAATCGGCAATAATTCAATAATTCTCTTCCGTACATTCTACGAGAATATTCTTGAGGAAAAGAATTCCCAGTATGTGAAGTATGCGGGGTTAAATGCATATAGTACCAAATTGTTTTGTTTCTTTTAAATTTTAAAACATCATTAAATTTACATTTTATCTGATTTTATTTAACTATTTCTTTATTGGGTTTCTATAATAATGTTTTAAAAGATGTACATACTTTTCTTCATAACCTTGACCTTATATCCTAAAAATATAAACAATCACTTTTCTTTTAACCAATTAAATTTATTTAATTTTTGGATGGTGATGATGAATGTGCTCATTTTAAGGAAAAACCCGTCAAAAATGGTTTTCAAAATAGGGAATCAATGACAACTGCGATTTCTCAGCCCATCTTTCTATATAACCTAATCACTTTCACTATCTTTAATTACTTTCTCCTCTTTTCTTAACCTTTTCAAAAAAAAGCTTGAGAAATATTTTTCGAAAGTCATATAAAAGTTTTTCAATTACCTTATTATTATTTGATTTATTTCAAAATGAAACTTGATCAAAGGTAATATATTACGTATCCTTTATTATTATTATTTTGCGTAGTGTTTTTTCTTTGCATATTTAATAAATTTTTAAAAAAAAAAAAAAAAGATTTAATGATTTGATTTTATTCTGTATATTTGTATATATTTTTTTTTCAGAGAATTTACTGATTTAGCGGAACTCTCCGTAATGTTTGGTAAATTGAAAGTTGCCGTGGACAATTTACAAACGAAAGTTTCTCAAGAAAAAGACATCACTTCATATATAGAACAAGTCCCTACAACCACCTATCAATGTAAATATTGTACTAAGAAATTTTCAAAAATTGATGAAGCAGCAATTCTTAGTCATGTAAATGCAAAACATAATAATACGGTGGAAACCACGGGAAAAGAAAAGAGATTAGCATATTATTGCAAATCGTGCAATAAAGTTTTTTTGAGAGAATTTGATTTAAATAATCACATTTCTGGGAAGCATAGTTCAAAAGCAAAGAAAAGGAAAGCAAAGAAAGCAAAGAAAGCAAAGAAAGCGCAGAAAGCAAAGGAAAGCAAAGAAAGCAAAGAAAGCGCAGAAAACAAAGGAATAGAAAATTGATCTCATGACAGTTTTTTATTTTTGTTTTAATTTTTAATTTTTTTTTTTTTTTAGTTTTTAATTTTTTTTTTGTTCGAGTATTTTTTTCTTTTTTAAGATATTTTTTTTTTTTTAGTTTTTTACGACCAATTATTATTGATAGGTGCAACTTTATTTCATATTATTATTATTATTCAAATCACATTATTTGAATATTATTATTATAAATAAATAAATTCTTGTAAACAAACAAACAAGAATAAATACATAAATAAATAAAATAACCACACTATTTTCTTATACAGTTATAATACAAAGATATTTTGAATACAAAAATAATAAAAAAATAATAATAAATAATTATCAAATTAATATAAAAATTCATGCGAAAATAAAAGTTGTTTCGTTAATTAATTAATTACTACAACACGACAAAAAATTATTTATGAAAAAGAAAATTTTCCTTGGAATGGATAATGCTGTAATTTTACAACGAATCTCCATATCATAAAATAAAAATAACACTATAAAAAAAAAAGGAGAGAAATTATTAAATTCAAATTATTCAAATTAAACTAATATAATCAAAAAAAAAAAAATATATATATTTACCATTAAACCAAAATCTACGATAAGGAACATAGAGAATAAAGCAATGAGCGTTTTTAAGTCATTATCACAAAATTTAACTGGTAATATTCTATCATCTGTCACTTTAGTATAAGTATATGTTGTAGAATTATAAGTATAAGTATCTTGTGTATTTGAATCGATCCACCTTTGACCACCATGATCACATTCCCATGTAATTCTATCTTTATAATGATCCAATGACCAAGCCATTATTATTCCTCGAGTTAGACCCAAAATTATTATTATGGGGTACACTCGTAGGTTGAAATTCGCAAACGTTTCAGATCGCTGTGTTGTAAGAATTAAGAAAGAAAGATTGATTAAATGGATTGGAATTAAAAAATCACGAACGATTAGTGAGTAACGTTAATAATAATTAAAATAATAATTACGTACCATTGAAAATGCAATTACAGCAATGATAGACATTGCCGCTTGTGCAAAAGCGTAACCACCATAGATTGATGATTCATTCAAGTGGAAAAAGAAAAAGTCTATATAATAATAATTACAATTATAATAATGCAAGCCATTAATATTTTTGTTAATAATATTTTGTAAAGCGCATATAATTAATTATTTATTCTTTAGTATATATTTAGAAAATACTGTAGACGTACCTCCATATGTAAATAAAAGCGCACCACCGACAATTTGGTACATCTATATTTAAAAGATTTGAAAGAGAATGACATGATAAATATATTTTATTTATTTTTGTCTCAAGAAAGAATAAAAATAAATTAAATTATAAATTTTTACCGTCATTATTACACCCAAACTAATAGCTCCAGCTCTTAATGGAAATAGAAGAAAACAATTATCGCACCACATTTTTAATAAAATGTTTAATTATAAAAAATTTCACGTTTAAATTATTTGTTAAAGAACAATTATTATTATTATTATTTTTTAAAAGATTTAAAGAATTATCTATGGTGGTTTTTTAATGGAAAATTTCAGTAGCGAAAGATTTAAGAGTAAATTATCATAAAATTCATTTAAAAAAAAAAAATAATAATAATTCATTAAATATCCATTTTTTTTTATCATTAAAGGAAGACTCCTCACTCTTAATGAATGAGAAAACAAAAAAAAAGGAGAGTCTTTTTAAATTCATATTTTAGTGGGGTAATTTTTTAATCTATTGTGTATTATTTATTACTTTCTTAGATATTTATTCTATTTATTCTATTTACTCAAGAATGTGATTCTTGTGTTGGAAGGGTTGGTTGATGATCAAAATATAATTTATTGTTATTTCCCTATTTTACCCCCATACTGTTTGTTACATTTTTTATTATTTATGGAAATATTAAGTATTATCTTCGATTCTTCTCATCTCCTTTCTTTAATATCTTAATTTATCTTAATTGGGATTAACGTATAATTATTGAAATTTTAATTCCCACATTTTGATTTCGTATCGTATTACTTATCATTACTTATTTTTAAATGCATACATAATTAAAAATGGGTATTGCTAAAATATCACCGCAGTTGATTGTCATTACTAAGGCAAAATCTAATGGTGACACCTGCGATGATTATTTAGCAATTTTCATTAAAACATATAATACTGTATTATAAGTAACCTCATCATGTGTTTCCAATAAGTTAAAATAATACATCCCATAATTTAATATGATCTAACCAAAACGAATTTTACCCAGGTTTTTGTTCGTAAATTTTTCGATCATTTAAATAGCAAGATTATTTAAGTATCGACGTAACATAATTTATACAATTTAATTTATATATTTACGTTTACGTTTTCGCACTTGCTTAAATTAATAATACTAAACTGGGCACTTTGGTTGAATTTATATATATTATTTGATATCAGAGAATCAGTATTGTGAACATTTCCTTCTTTATGATATAAAAAAATAATAATAATCTATTTAATCTATTTTAATCTATTTTAATTTATTTATTTGTTAAGTCACACCAAGAAATTTTTATAATCTAATTTGTATTTTATATATTTGTTTTATAAAAAAAAAAGGCAAATGATTTACATTGAATTTTATACAGTACACAGTATAAATAAAATAAATCATTTTCTTCAATAAAATAAATAAAATTAATCATCCAAAAAAAAAAAAACCAAAAAGAAACAAAATTGATACAAAACAGATATACAAACAATACAAACAAAATACAAAATATAGAAAAAAAATTAAAATGAATGTGATAATACAAAAATTTATTTTCTCTAATTAAATCAATTCTACAGTATAAAACCTTCTTTTTCTTTTTCAACAAGAAAATGAGGTTGTAATACTTTTCGTAGATTTATAGCTTCTAATAGCAAATTAATTTCTGTTTGGCTAAATTTTTTGAATAAATAAATAAATAAATAAATAATTTTAATAAATGATACAATAATACTAAAATATTATAAATATTTATAAAATATAAAATATAAAATAAAATAGAAAATAAAAAATAAAATATCTAAAATAAAATAGAAGTAATAATAATTTACCTCTTTAATGCTTCCACAGCAGTATAAAAATTATTTAACCATATATCATTTCCATCATAATCATTTATCCATTGAACTTCAACATTAAATTCTATCGAAGCTGATTGTTTTATTTCCAATAAAGTAATTAATCCATAAACCACATCACTAGCCGATAATGATGGTCGACCATAACCATAAAATTTACAATATGAAGCATAAACAGGATTCATAAATCCATATTTTGGTCCTTCCGTTGCTATTCCTGTAGCAAATGATTTGGCTGCTGTAATATCCATAGCTGGAAAAAATTGTTTCGCCGCTTTAAACGGTATACTAAAAAATATTTTTATATATTTTATATATATAGAAATAATAATATTCGAATTAACATTAAATATGAAAATATTCATATTTTTAATATTTATAAATTTATGAATAAGATCAATAATAATTACCCCAAATTTCTTAACATTCGATCTAAACTTGTTGGTTGATTTCCTTTAAGTTTCATTCCTGTAGCCGTATGCTCAGAATTAAGTATACTTTCATATAAGGTCCAATGACCAATTAATACGCATTGGTATGTAAATAATATGAATATTAAGGAATAAATAAAAATAATAATAAAATATTAAATCATCTTCACTCATAAAAAATAAATTAAATTAAATTATTAAAAATTATTAAAAAGTCGTAAAAAAAAGGATATTCATTAATATGTATAATTCTTTTGTCACCAGGGTGAGAAGGTACAGCATGAAATCTATGAACACGTTCAATTGTTGAAATATCATTTAATTCCGAAACTTCGGCATCTATAAATTTTATTGTCTCTTCATATTCTTCAAATACAATCTTTCGTGATATGAAAAGACTCGTTTGACCTATTATGGCGAGCCTATATAAAAAGGTAATAAAAAGGTGTGTGCAATGACGTGAGTTTTTTGTGTGCGTGCGTAAGATAAAAAAGATTTTGTGTGTATGTGATATATGTGTGTGATAAATGCGCGTGATAAAATGTGTTTATATATATGTATATAATACCATAGCATATCATTGTCTTTTAATAAATTTTTTGATGAAAGAATGTAAGTCTGCAGTGCAATTGATGGTCCATATTTTTCTCTCTTTGGCGGTCTTATTCCTCTTTGATTATACTAAATGTAAAATAATGGATGAAGAAAATGAAATTAATCAGAGATAGATGAGACGAATGGGAGAGAGATGAATGAAATAGATGAACAAGTGATGAAATGAGAAAATAGATGAATAAGAAGTTAAAGAGAGATAGGCGAATGAGAGAACGAGGTGAATGAAAACTAACCGAACCAAATGATACCCCATTCCTTATTGGATATCCGTAATCATCAACATCATCAGGTATCATACGATTCTCTTTACGTTCTTTCGAAAGTGCCTTTTATTTTTTTAAAAAAAAAAATTAAAAAAATTTTTTCAAATAAAAAAATACATGATTATCAATTGTTATTACCTTTTCTAATAATGCTTGATCATCAGCAGAATTTTCATTTAATAATAAAAACACCTATTATTATATTATTTTTTTTTAAAAAAAATCTTTAGTTGTTTGTTAGTCATTCATAAATAAATGATAATGTAATAAAAATATATATATATTTTTTTATATTTTTTTTGAAAATATAATTACATTTATTTTATTTATTTAAGAACTCACATTTTTTGTATCTTCGTAAAGATTCCGTAGATTAATTGGATTTAGACTATCAATCACTATTACACTTAATTCTAAATGATTTTTTAAATCAAAAAATTCGGGGATATTAATGTCTCCTCCAACATTCAATAAAATAATTGCTCGTAACTATCTTTGTCACAATAAAATTATTAAAAAAAAATTAATAAATATTATATTAATTATTATTAAATGTAAATATATATTATATATAAATAATAATAATAATATAAATGTATATAATAATAATTAATAATTAATTAAATAATCAATTAATAAAATTAAATTAAAATTAAATTCGAAATAATAATAAAAAAATTTTTTCAAATAATAATAAATAAATGAATTAATAAATTTTCTGCATTACCGATTTCGCTAGTGGACTTGGTTTCTCAACACTCTTAGTAAAATCATTACTGAATCTAATAGGTGTCAGACTCCATATTACGTGTTTTAAAAAAAACATTTTCTATAAATAAATTTTCAAAAAAATTTTTTTACCAAAAAAAAAAAATAGACAAGAAATAGAATGAAATGATCATACGAAGAAAAAAAATCTTGGAAAGGAATTCGTTACCAAACATTTAATATATTAAATCAATAAAATAAAATAAATAAATAAAAGAAAATAAATATATGGGATTCAATAAACCTTAAATATTTCCGCCGCACATATTGCATCAATATCTGCACTACAATATATCAGTACAGAAGGATCAAGCATTAAAGTACCATTTTCATCCTGAAAAAATTTCATGGTTTCAAAAAAATATTTAAGCGCTTCTAAGCCGATATACATTTTTTTTTTAAAAAAAAAGAGTTGATCTCGTAAAAAAGTCGAATTTCGAATTAATTAATGTTATATTTTAATATTATTTAATGTTCTAATTTTTTATTTAATGCTAAGTTGATATTATTATTATTATTTGTTTAATAATTTTTTTGATTATCGAAAATTTTTATATACATAAAAGAAAACGCGGAATGATGATAATAATATGTTGATCAAAAATAATGCCACGATGATATTTATAGGGTTGCTAAAAATAAAATTATCATGTGCCAAGTGCTTGCTGTAAATCTTGGTCACTTTGTGATAACTGCTCGCAATTAATGTATTATGTTACATCTCGTTAATTGATAGAAAGCTCTGAAGGAAAATTTCATAGGCGCCATTGATATATCTATCAATAGATAGATTACATCCTCCACCTTAAATACCTATTCTTCTAATTTCCTACGAATCAACTTTTGTATATGCCTCAGAATGAATAATGATAACATCAAAGATGCACGAGAGCCAAGCATTTTTCTATGGCATTCATTTACAAGGTTTTTGTTTCAAAGATGTATCTTATGCCTATTCTTTAGTTGTTCAAGACCAAGAGCAAGACATAGTCAAATAAACTTTTGTGTTTGGTTATCTATTTCTTTGCATCATGTTCAGTTAATACCTGTTGACCAAACAAATGTCCATTGGACAAGCAGACGATTTTAAATGAGTTTTGAATTACAATTTACTGTTCCTTCCAATTGTGATTTCGTTTGCGATACGATGCATAAGCTGAGGTCATGTTGTCTGTTTGTTTTTTTTTTTTTTAATAATCATACATATATGCGTAAAAAAAGACGAGAGTAAAATAGGTTACCTTTTTTGCGATTTAATAAATGTTTGGAATTTATTTTTTATTTTTTTAAAAAATTATCGGAATTCTTTGAAAGTATTTTATTTGTTATTATTTTGATATTATTATATTTAATTTCTTTTTCTGACCGGTACATTTTCTTTATTCTCTCCTCTAAAAAGGGAATTCGAATATGTAAATCGAAAAATAAGTTATCGAATGTATTAAAAGAAGATTTTATCTTTCCCAAATGTAGTGTCATCTCCGAGTTTTTAAAATAATGATAACCCTAGAACATTTAATTTTCTCTACGTTAGACAAACGTATTATTCTCAATAAATATAAATAGGATATTTTTTTGGATCACACACTATTCATAAATTCTCCCGCTTTGAATAAAATGACTAAAAGTTTTGGTAGAAGATGTGATCAATTTAATAAATTAATCAAATGTATAAAATGCAAAAGAAGAATAATTATTAATAGTTCACATATATGTTATTATTGTTATGGCATGAATTCTCTAATTGTTAACAGTGGCAATATAAACATTGATCGTTTCATTAAAGGAACACTATCAAGAAATAATAATAACGATGATCCATTTTTGGAATGGGTTCCTTTCGAAGAGTTTGAAGATGTAAAGAAAATTGGGCAAGGTGGTTTTAGTCAAATTTTTAGAGCTACTAGGAATATTTAACAAAGAATAAATTATAAAGGTACTTTAAGGGGTCGTCAAAGTAATAAATAACTCCCAGAATGTGGATACTGAATTTTTAAATGAGGTAATTGCATTTATGCATTGTACTAATTATTTTGATTTATTAATATTTATTTATTGTATTTGAAAAAATATAGTTGAAACATACTTTTCAATTCATGGATAAAAAGATTTATAATTTCAAAAAAAAAAATAATTGAATGTTATGGAGTAACAAACAAAAAATTATATTGTTAAAGGAATTAAAGAAATTCATGACAAGACAACTGTACATCGAGATTTACATAGGAAAATCAATGATATAAAAAATTATAATTATAATAACACAGTAGATTTAGGATTTAGTCAACCAGCAAATATTGAATCAAATCTTTCAAGAGAATCTCAAATATATGGAATAATTCCATTATGACTCCAGAATTATTTAAATATCAACCATATTCATATGCATCAGATATTTATAGTTTAGGATTATGTGTCAATTGACATCTGGACATAGACCATTTTATGATCAAGAACATGGACCAAAATTTATATTAGATATTTTAGATGGAAAAAGACCGGAAATTACAGAAGATACACCAGAATATTGGGCTAATTTAATGAAAAGATGTTGGCATTCTGATCCTTCTCAACGACCAACGATAGGTAAAATTGATAAATTTAGATTTTATGATACTTGGAAAGTATTTAAAGAAGCTGAAAAAAATGACTTGAAATGCTCAAATCAAAAAACCGCTTGTAAAAAATCCAGGATATAAGCATCCCAATTCTAAATATTATAGCATATCATTAAATTCCATGATAGAATCTATTAATTCAAAAGCATCAGGTATTTATTGGTTTAAATAATTTTTAAAATAAAATAATTCATTATAATAACAATTTCTTATACATGACATGATTTCTATAGATCTATTCTCTAATGATTATTTACTTTCAATGATCATTTTGATAATGGATTTCAAGTAAGAATTATATTACATTTTATATATTTTAAAATATTTAGTACACTTCAGTTACTAATCGATTTCACTAATATTAATAATTTTCAAATAGTTCTAGCCAAAAGAATAATTTCGAAAATTAAGACCATAATTCGAGTGAAGAAAATTCTAAAAACATTTTAAAGAAGAAAACATCGAAGGTCAAAGTAATATTTTTGAAATTTATTATAGCAAATTTAATTATTTTGGTTATTTTTTTTAATTAATTTGTGGTTTTACCAAACAGATGACTTTAAACGAAGAAAAATTGTTGAACGTTTTAATGAATGTTTTGTAGATTTTCTCTTTATTTCGATCACATACAATTAAATAATTTAAAATGAAGAATAATTTATTTATAATTTGGTGAAAGTTTTATAAATGATTGTAATGTTTTTACAAACAAATTCCAGTTTTTCATAGATATTAACAGTTATTATATTATATAACTTTTCCACAAGTTCTTTAAATTCAAATTTATTTTTATTTTATTTTCACGTTTTCATTTATTTTTGCGAATAAACTTATCTCTTTGATTATATTATTTATTTATTTTTATTTCTATAATTCTTAATAAATAAATTTAAGTACTTTTTAAAAAAATGGTACATAGTATAAAAAATTTGATTATTTTATAAAGAAAAATTGTCGAATGTTTACGATAAATAAATGACTTAAGATCAAATTGATTCTTCTTTTCAGTTAAAAAATTCAATTAAAGAAAGCAAATATTGTATCTTCAAAAATAGTTTTGCATACTTTTTCAGTTTGTTTCAAAAACTATAAAATATCGAGTTTTAAATTTAACTTTAGTTTACTTGCTCTAATGTCGGATGAATTAAACTTATTCACTTTTAATTTATTATTTTTGCATAACGTATGTAGTTTATTACTAAATATTTTAAATTCAAATGAAAATTTGTATGAAATTTTTTTATGTTAAGTACTATATTGAAATCATTTCATTTTAAGTAAATTTGATATGATAAAAATGGTCGTCTGGAAAATAGGGCTTATTGTGATGCGATTGATGAAGATAACCATAAAATACTTTACTAATGACTCAAGAGTCATTCATAGCTTTCACTTTGTTAGCCATTGAGTACAATGCAAAAAAAAAAAAAAAAATTATTTATATTTTTGACGTTACATCTTATTTTGTATTATATTTCTTTTTGGAACCAATTACTTTTTCTCTGTACTATCTGGTACGAGCACATTTTACCGTTTTTGATTATTTGTTCAGTAGAAGTTCTAATCACATTTTCACTATTTTTAGGCTGTCATTGTATTGGGAATTCTTAGCATTTTGTTGGTTATACCTGTTTTCTTTTACATAGGAGATCTCTGCCTCAGCCTCATTTATTGTCAAAACAAACATAATAAAGGTTTCTATACCTTCTTCATTGAGTTTTTAATAGCAATCCTATTAAAACCACAGAAAAAGCTTGAGTTTTTTCCTCGGTCTATAGTTATAAATCACCTCAAACAAATTTATCAACTAGGCAAAATCAATCGTATTATTATGTGGTCCGTGGAACTAAGAAAACTACTTATATCAAGAAAGTTGATTTTCCTTCTAATGTTAAAGATTTCTGGGAAAGACATTAACTTTTGCGTTTGAGGAGCATATGCCGTTTACAAAAAGCAATTATGAAAATTGGGCAATACTGATAGTGAGTTTTATATTATCACTGCGCTTTTATAACAACCAACATTTTTTACCATAATTTCTTTCTTGACAGATGAATTTGATGACCAGATGCGGGAGAGTGTCATGAAAACTTTTAAATGTGTTATTAATGTAAGCCAAATACGACAAACCTGAATTCATTTTATGATAATATTAACTGATTGGCTCATATAAATCCAGAAATCCTTGAAATCTCCCAAGATGGTTTCAAAGATAATGTTGATTATAGAAAAAACATTACTGTGTTTGCCATTAGTGAAGGAAAAGTCCCGAAAGAATGGAACATGAGTATTGGTACTTATTTTTGAAGGAAATAGAATAGCTTATCTGTCATATCGTGTGATCCATATTTTTTATCTTGTAGTGCAAGCAAAGCCAATAATGGAAATTAGCAATCTTAGTAAGGAAGAAACAGTAGAATATCTAATATATAATGCAAGATCAAAGAAAAAGAAGCCGAAAGATATGAATTGGTTGGTGGTCGCATTGTAGATCTAATGTCAGTGGACAACCTTTTGAAGTTAGGAATTTGTTCATTAATAATTTTACACTGGAGTAATTCTGTTTTGAATCACTACAGCTCTTCCCTCCTTTGAAGTCATTAAGCAAAAAATTTTAACCAAAGTCAAGAATAAATTTGATTTTGCAAAACTCCTTCAAGATCAATCATGACATAAAGTGGGAAAGTATTGCATTTAATTAATGCTTTGCTGATGTCAAAAGAACTAATACTGACTAATTTATTTAGAAAATATTTTGAAGATGGTGAATACAATGAAATTTAGAAGCAAATGTATTTGGATATCATACTAAGGCCTTTTAATCTCAATCAGTGGAATTATACATTAAGACACATGCTGCTAAATTTCGTGTTAAGCTAAATGATTTCAGCTCCTTGATGATGATGTTAACTCTAATCAAATGGACACTATAATGCGAATACCAAATGAGAAAACAGGATCAAATAATCCTTTATATTATATTTAAAAATTCTAAAATACCCTTCAATTATTATAATGTTTATAGAAAGTATTATTGCAATCAATATGTATTTTGATAAAAAATAAATTTATGCAGTACGCAAAATAAAAGTCCTTTGCACAATATGTTAAAAATTCTGAGTCCAAATTTTTATAGGCTCAAAATTCAGTCATCTGAGAAAGGTTCATGTGTCTGTGTGGGTAGAAACAAATTAGCTGTAGAAAATTTTCAGAAATGTGAGAGAACAAAGAAATAATATTACACAGAGATTTGCATTAAATGGATTAGGATTCACATACTCTCCCTTGAAAGTATGTTATATATTTCATTTATTTTTCTTACTACTCTCTTACGGTGTCTAAAAATCATTTATTAATAGAAAAAATAAAACAATTCAATAGTGCAATACTTTAAACATTCCACTCTGCCAAAAAATTTATTATAAGGTCTTTTATCTTTATTACTACTCAACTTCCTGATAGACTGGACCAACCTTCACACCAATGTCACCAATATCACTAATATTGCCACTTTTACAAATATTAAAAGCACTATCAATTCCTCCAACTCCAACACCACCAACAACACTATTACTACATTCTTTACTTTTCTTTTTGCTTGATTACTACCCTAAATAATCCTTTCTTTAATGATATAGATGACGATGCTTTTAATGACATCAATTATTTTTCGAAAGGAGTTAGATCGAATTGTTCAATCAAGGATTATTGCTTATTATAATAGTTGGTGAAGTTGTTATTGGCATTGAAGTTATTATTGGTTGAGTTTTTATATGGGTGATGGTAATTGTCCTTCTCCAACATTTTTTATATTGGGTGTACTTTTAATTTCATTAGAGGATCTTCGATTTCAGTGATACCATCAATTAACTTCATCCATTGAAGGTATAGTTTTTAAGTAGGTCCGTAAACTTTCATCAGTAGGATCTTACACCTTCACCTATTAATCCGTGATCTTTGTCTTCATCATTTTCATTTGCTCTTCTTCTTCCTCCTCCTTATTATAAACATCATCATCATTGTTATAAGAAAGTTCTACTAATTTCGGAAACTTGCATTTGATTAATAAATTTTATATGATAAATATATTATGGTTAAAAATTTAAACAATAATACCAAACAATGATGTTAATTTGAGTATCGGTATCATACTTGGAACTACTATGACTCGTTGGTATATATCTATAATAATAGTTATACTACCTATAATAAATATAATAAATTAAGTAACAATAATTATATTATTCATAAAAACTCTTTCCGCTGGTGTTTTGGATCATTATTCCAATTCCAAAAGACGTTCACAAGTATAAATGACACCTTCTTAATTAGAAGCACTTTCTATCTATTATATAATTATTATTCTTTAATCTAATAAATTTATTATTAATTTCATCAATTCCTGAAATGTTTGTAGTAAAAAAAAATTGAATTAGGATAATCAGATCTGAAGATGAGGAGGGATGATGTAACGGTGATGATGATGGTGATGATAATGATGATGACATGACATTCATTTGACAAAGCAATTTCAGAAATAAATTTATAAATGCGCTAAGATAATAAATAATAAATAATAATATAAAATAAAATATACTTGTTTGATAACAGATAAACCAAGTTTTATTCAAGTTATTTATACTGATTCCAAAATAATATTATCAACATGTCGAGTGAAATTATAAATATTTGGCATCCCCCAATCACCATAAAACCTCCATTATTATAATAAATTTTAACGGAAATTGTGCGATTTGATTCGGTAAGCATCAGATTTCCACCTTTAAATCAGTTTCGTACCCCAGACAATTGACCCTCCAAAAGTATTATTACTGTAAACATTAATCATTTTGGTATTAATAATTGCTCTACTTCTTAAAAATTCTAAATTTAAAAAGTCTTTCTCCCATAAATATCCACTTCATAAATAATCAAATGATGCAAATGAGATCATGCATCCAAATAGTTGAATGAAAATAAGATATTTTGATTAAACATTTGAAATGGATCTAAAGGGTATAAAATTTACAAATACTGTATGAGGATAATATATTGTTGCATATATTGAGCTGTTGTTACCGGTGGTTCCTGGTTTTCTCAAGAACTACCTTGTAAAGTGACTTAACAGTTCTTTTAAAGAGTTTATAGTCCTTTCCCAAAGGTAAGACTGTTGTTTCATTATTTTAGAAGGCACCACTGATTCAATTATTTTAGA